GGCGGGCCTGGCGGCGGGGCGCTACCGCCTCTCCACGCGCTCCGACCTGTCGCTGGGCTCGCGCGGCGGCGCGGCCACCCCGCAGCACCCCCCGTCCGGGGCCAAGAGCTCGGCCACCGTGAGCCGCAACCTCAACCGCTTTTCCACCTTTGTCAAGTCTGGCGGGGAGGCGTTCGTGCTGGGCGAGGCGTCGGGCTTTGTGAAGGACGGGGACAAGCTGTGCGTGGTGCTGGGACCCTATGGCCCCGAGTGGCAGGAGAACCCCTACCCGTTCCAGTGCACCATCGACGACCCCACCAAGCAGACCAAGTTCAAGGGCATGAAGAGCTACATTTCCTACAAGCTGGTGCCCACGCACACGCAGGTGCCTGTGCACCGGCGCTACAAGCACTTCGACTGGCTGTATGCGCGCCTGGCCGAGAAGTTCCCCGTCATCTCAGTGCCACACCTGCCCGAGAAGCAGGCCACGGGCCGCTTCGAGGAGGACTTCATCTCCAAGCGCAGGAAGGGCCTGATCTGGTGGATGAACCACATGGCCAGCCACCCGGTGCTGGCCCAGTGCGACGTTTTCCAGCATTTCCTGACCTGCCCCAGCAGCACGGACGAGAAGGCCTGGAAACAGGGCAAGAGGAAGGCCGAGAAGGACGAGATGGTGGGGGCCAACTTTTTCCTGACCCTGAGCACCCCGCCTGCTGCCGCCCTGGATTTGCAGGAGGTGGAGAGCAAGATCGACGGCTTCAAGTGCTTCACCAAGAAGATGGATGATAGTGCCCTGCAGCTCAACCACACAGCCAACGAGTTTGCACGCAAGCAGGTGACAGGCTTCAAGAAGGAGTACCAGAAGGTGGGCCAGTCCTTCCGTGGCCTGAGCCAAGCCTTTGAGCTGGACCAGCAGGCCTTCTCTGTGGGCCTGAACCAGGCTATCGCTTTCACCGGAGATGCCTACGATGCCATCGGCGAGCTCTTCGCGGAGCAGCCCAGGCAGGACCTGGATCCGGTCATGGACCTATTAGCGCTCTATCAGGGGCACCTGGCCAACTTCCCGGACATCATCCACGTTCAGAAAGGTAAAGCCTAGCCTTAGAGCTGGTGGTGTGAAATGTGTTGTTCGGGCTGAAAGTGATGGCTTTGCCAGGGCTTTGCTTTATTCTCCAGGTGCAGGAATCAGGCAGGGATGTGGCTGGCTAGAGCTTGCCTGAGAGTGTACAGTGGGTCCTAGGACAGGTAGCTTCTTCCTTACCTTGCAGGCAGGGATTGAATGCCGTCCGGAAGTACTTTTTACGATAGTATTGTCATTTTAGGATTTGAATGGCTGGGCAATGAGGTGCTCAGATCTGTGATCTTGTGACTAGGGAAGAAATAGGGAACTCCAATGAAGTTAGAGATCCATTTGAGCATTGCAGTGTCGCTAGGGATGGGAAGAAACAATGGAGAAGATGGCATGTCTGCAAGTAAGAGTAAACCTGCCGCTTCCACCTCCGCACCTCAATTCCTGCTTTAGTGAGGTGACTGGGATCGTTTCTCAGAGCTGAGGCACTGTAACAACTTCCTGCCTAGGCTTCCTGAATGCAGCCTTTGTTGAGTAAGGTGAAAGGCCCACTCAGCTTCCAGGAGCCTCATTATTTTGACTTTGGAATCAGAAATAAGAATGTTTTTTACAGCAATAGAGAATATAAATACATCCTGTCTGAATGTTGGGTCTGAGAGCAGTGTATTCGTGTTACCCAGGGAGTGTGTTCAGCAGTTTTTAGCGTGTTCCCAGGTTTTGGTAAAATGCAGGAATTGCCAAGTTCGTTTTTTAACAAAATTATAGCAATAGTGTCTGACCTAACATTAATCACGCATGTTCATTCTGATACAGTGCTGCAGTTGACTGAGACTGAGGGGGCAAAGGGCGCCGTGGGGAGGGTGGGAAGGGCCTCAGCTAAGCCAGCATCCTGCTGCGGACCCTCCTCAGGTGACCAGCTCTGGCCTTTGTGGTGAGTGACACTCGCTCCTTTCCGGTGGGCCAGTCTATTTATGAGGATACTTGATCTCTGACTTGTTCTTTCTCACACTGAACTAAAATTTGGCCCTTGGTTGTCTTTCCGTTCCTGGGACTCATAGGAAATAAATCTGTTCCTGGATATGTCTAGCCCTCAGACGTCTGGAGCCAACAGTCTCATTTTCACTTCCTTCCTCGCAGCTTCCTCCTCCTTCCAAGTGTGACTAGGTCTCTAATTCTTAATGGGGTGGGGGCAGTGTCCCCAATGTCATTGTCTGTTCTTGCTGCTGTCAAATTGCAGTACCCTGGACATCTATAGGACAAATTTTAGTAGAGAATAGTAACTTGGCAATTTACAACTCAGATACCTGCTGAGATTATTAGCTTTTTGAGCAGTAGTGTTGCTTCTGGCCTATATTAAACTTGCATCTATATTCCTTATTTTCTTTGATTTTTCACAAAAATGAATCCTTACCTTTGTGGCTGGGACTAGTGAAAGTGACAGTTTGAGTTTCTAATGCAGAGCCTTCCCGTTTAAATTCCCCTGTATTACATCATTTTGGGCCCATGCAGGCCGCCTGTTTACATATTTCTGTGAGTTTTGGAAATTGTTAATACTTGAAAGAGGGCAGAACCAAGTGTGGTCAGCTCTGCCCCATGCAGGTGAGTTGTCTGCTTCACTTTACTTGCTGCTTCATTGTAATCTAGTGTTTACTTATTTTATTAAACTTAACTCCACCATCTTTTTTTTTATTACAATGTGTTTGCAGTCCGAAGTGTTTGCATTCCTTGTGTGGAGTTGCTCCTTGTACACAGCACGCCCGTCTTCCTTTTATTCTTCCCGTTTCCCTCCCCGCCCCTTGCATCTCTTGAGCCCGGTCCTTCCTGTCATCCCCGCCTCCCACTCAGCTGTTGTCTAGCGCTCTGCTGTTGTGTCAGAAAAGATACGGTGTTCATCCCAAGGACTTACAGTTCCCTGGGCCTGAAATTGTGCATTTCACTTTTTAATCCTAGAAGGAAAACTATCTCCAGTTGCTTAGGAATTGAAAAGCCTTCTTTATTAATACCAGTGCCAATTTATGTAGTTTAAACAGGTTCAGGGACACTAAATGTAATCTTCAGGAACTAGACTCCCGTTGATATTCGGTATAGTTTGTTTCCACTGTCGCCGTGGTGTGTGGTGTGCAGGGAGCTGTGTCCCCAGATGGCTTGTCTCTGCAAGGTGCTGTTGCTTAAAGCTAAAGTGTGTGGTACACGAGGCCCAGAGTATGGTCACAGCTTGTGTGTGTGACAGGTGCTGGCTGGGGTTAGGTGCTTAGCAGCGCCCCCCTGGAAAGGCTTGTGCATGCTCAGGACTTGGGGGTGTGAAGAGCAGCCCCCCCGCCCCGCCCCCACCGCACAGCCACTACTGCACTGACTGGTTTTTCGTCTGAGCACTTGGGAGTTTGTTCACTGGTTGATTTCCTTTTTCATCCTCTAAAATCTCAAAAGTACAGTCCTACCAGAAGTGTTGACCGGCTTTTGAAAAGAAGACAGCCACAACAACAAAGACAAATAAAAATCTTTGAGCAGTGTAGCCAGTCTTTTTTTTTTTTTTTTTTTTTTTGGTATTTGGCCCTTAGTTGATATTTCAATTTAGAGAACATTCCTAAAATTTAAAAAGTTAATTAAAAAAAGATAATTATTTTACTTCTCAAGGCTTCATTGTTGAAGAGAAAAGCAGTTTTTCACTGCTTTGACATTTTATACGTTCTCATCGTAATTAGGAGGCCTGTACTGAGATGGAGCGTGATTCTAAAGTACCTTTTAATTACTGCAGCAATTAAGAACAGTTAAGGCTTTTTCCTTAATTGTTCGAGGAAAGGAAGGCAGCATTAGGCTCCTGAGTCTGTTTCTTGTCAGGAGCCTGCTGTGCTTAGTTAGCTTTTAGAGTTCTAGACGCAGGCTGTTCGATGCTGTATCCACGAGCCCCACGTGGTAAGTTAAAATTAAACAGGATGAAAAATTTGGTTCCTCAGTCACACTGGCCATATATGAAGTGCTCAAGTAACTAGTGGCCAGCGTGCTGGGTAGTGGGGGAGGAGGGGAGACACGCGCCTCCATTGTTGCCCGGAGTTGCCGCTGCTTTAGGCAATTGGCTGCAGTTCAGATGTCAGCCCCACTCTAAACTTCTCCAGCGAATTGGTTATCTTGTGTTGTGCATTCCTGGTCCTCTTGTGGGTCTCTTCTCTCCCTGGTGGACTTACTAAGATGAGTAAAATTGAGTGGGCTGGGGGCAGCAGCTCCTTCTGGATCCCTGGCTGCAGAACTTCCAGGTCATCAATGTCCCTGTGTCCATCTGCTTGCAGCACTCTTCTCTCAGAAATACACGGGTCCATGGTGGGCTTCTGAGCCCATCCCGGTGGGGACGCAGTGACAGAACCAAGGTGGGAAACCCAGCTACTCTTGGTGTGGTGGGCTGGTGTTTTCTAGCTCTACTCAATACCGAAACCAGTGTTCAGGAGAATGCAGGGTTTGTGCAGAGCTCAGCAAAAGTGGAGAACCATGTGGTTCCTTCTATACAAAGAGAATTCTAGAATTCTTTTTTTTTTTTAAACTGGCTAATGGAGTCATAGATAAACAGGCCTGTTTAGTGGAGTAGAGAGGGGAAGGTTTTTTGCTGTAGTCTGTGGTAGGAGACTTCAGAATTTATTTGTAGTTTGCTTTGACTGAATAGGAGTACCTTAATTTTTTTGTTTCTGGGTAGCTCATTGATCTGGTAGTATAGAGTATACACAGGTCTGTCACTGACCTGGAACCCCAATGGATTTGGTTTTCTTTTATTGAAATTGTAGCATTTTATCTTTTTGTTTTGTATTACCATGGCCTGTTTTTATAATGCTGTTGCTTGCGAGTTTGGAGTAAAACACAGAACATATTTGACTATCAATTTCATAGGATATTCAGTTTTGCTTCCAAAGATATGATTAGTAAAACTAAATCTGGATGGCAGCATATTATTACGATTTAAAAGCTTTCCAGCTGTTAAGGACTATTGCAAAGGGCCAAGACCACGGAAGTTAGCTCGTGAGAAGTTCTATCTGCACCCTTGTGTATCAGTATAGGCTAGATGAGGGAAGTCAGTCACCTGAAGCCCACTGCTTTGCTCCAGCATAAGGTGTGCAGCCGTGTGGGTCAGTCTGTCGGCCGAGCCTGCCTGGTCTGAGCCCTGCACAGGACTGGGCAAATGAGCAGGCAGCTCTCTTTACCATGCTGTTAAATAAAGCATGCGGAATCCATTTCTTTGGACTCTGAGCAGTGTAGTTGGAGCGCCTTTTCAGCAAAAACAGCCTCAGGAGCGGTGCACCAGGAGTGGGCAGGTCAGTCCTGCAGGGTAGAATGCCACCATCCTGCTTCCTTTACTGCTAGGAGGGTTGATCTCTGTCCTTCAGACATTAATTAAAGATAGCCAGTGTCCCTGTAGGGTACCCAAGTCAAGGTGGGGCTGCAAGGAGGCTTCCCTGTCTGTTCCCTGCCTCCCTGTTCTGTCCTCCACACCCAGCTGTCTTTTGAAGGGACTTGCCTCCTGTTTTAACCTTTGCCCAGATTTGTATTTTCTCAGGTAACTTCTGGGGCTTTTGAAATAGATGACTTTATTTCTTGGTAAAATGTGACTGGTGGGGAGTGTCTTTGGAGGGAGAGGCAGGGCCTCGGCTGTGGTGTCTCCATGTCCTTCCTGAGCCATGCAGCCCTTCTCCAAGTCACGCTGGAAGCCCAGACCGATAAACTGGTTGCAGCGAAGCTGAAAGGCGGCAGACGGGCTGGGGAGATAGCTCAGCGGTCTAAGCATCAGCCTGTGCAAGCGCAAGGACCTGGGTTCAATCCCCAGTACCACATGCTGTGCCACCATGCCAGCTGCCAAAACTGGGCATGATGCCACCCACCTGCAACCCCAGCGCTGTGCAGGCTGAGACAGGAGGATCACTACCGAGGCCAAGTGAGACTGTGTACCAAATAAATAGGATAAAAATATTTTTTAGAAAGGAAGCAGAGATAGGTTTGCGCTTCCACTCGAGCTCTCCTGGGGACTCAGTCCCTGCGGCC